TATTTTTTATTATATATTATATTTTATACATTATATATTATATATTATATGTTATATATATAATATAAATATATAATGTATAATATATATTATATTGTATATTGTATATTGTATATTATATGTTATATATTATATATTATGTATTTATTTTATATTAATAATATGTAATATGTGATATGTAATATATAATATATAATATATATTTATTTTATATTATATATAGTAATATATAATATATATACAACATATACAATATAGACATAATATTCTATATTCTCTATAACAATAATTCTATCTGCAGCACTCAGGGAGGGCAGGACGGTCACTGCTGCTGTCACCTGGCCGTGCTGCAGTGTCCTGGCTGCTGTGTGACCCCCAGAGCTCAGTGGCCCTCTCCCCTGCATGCTCCCCTCTCCCCTCTCCCCTGTCCCCTCGCTCCTGCTCTGATGCTGGGGGACACCAGGGTGGCTCTGCCTGCGGTGCTGGGCAGGCACAGCAGAGCTTTGAGGGGAGCAGGGCAGTGGCACGGCACGGCACGGTCCCTGGCAGCCTGGCACAGCCCGAGCCCGCCCTGCCCTCCTGTCCCGGCACAGGCAGAGGAAGGACGAGCTGGAGCAGAGGATGTCAGCGCTGCAGGAGAGCCGAAGGGAGCTGATGGTGCAGCTGGAGGGGCTGATGAAGCTGCTCAAGGTAAGGACAAAGGCAGAACTCCCTCCTTCCATCCCTCCTTCCTTCCTTCCCTCCTTCCCCGGGTCCCTGCTCTGCTGCCACTCCCCAAAACCCTTCCCGAGGAGCAGCAGGAGCTTTTGGAAATGCCAGAAGCCACGGCCATGGCAGCCCCGCGTGGGGAGCAGGGCGTGAGCCTTTCTCCAGGCTGGTGTGATAAAACGTGCAGAACCCAAAATCTGGGGGGTTAGAGGGTTTGGGTTGGTACCTGGGGGTCAGCACTGCCCTCAGGGGTTTGTGGGTGAATAAAACATGCAGAACCCAAAATCTGGGGGGTTTCAGAGGGGTTTGGGTTGGTACCTGGGCTCAGCACTGCCCAGTGGGGTTTGTGTGGGTAAAACATGCAGAACCCAAAATCTGGGGGGTTTCAGAGGGGTTTGGGTTGGTACCTGGGCTCAGCACTCCTCACTGGCACTGGGAAATAAATGGGGAGCAGGGCAGGGGGTGAATGCCAGGGCAGGGAGCAGGGCAGGGGAGCAGTGCCAGGGCAAGGAGCAGCGCACAGTGTGAGTGCCAGGGCAAGGAGCAGGGCACAGTGTGAGTGCCAGGGCAAGGAGCAGGTCAAGGTGTGAGTGCCAGGGCAGGGAGCAGGGCACAGTGTGAGTGCCAGGGCAAGGAGCAGGTCAAGGTGTGAGTGCCAGGGCAGGGAGCAGGGCACAGTGTGAGTGCCAGGGCAAGGAGAAGGGCACAGTGTGAGTGCCAGGGCAGGGAGCAGGGCACAGTGTGAGTGCCAGGGCAGGGAGCTGAGCCTGCCCAGCCCCTGGCACAGCTGGGCTTTGCCTGAGGGCTCTGCTGCTGCCTCTGAGCTCCCAAAACGTCCCTGCTTGGGTTCCCATGAGGGTCCCTTGTTTCCATGGAGTGTCCCCAGGCTGAGCTCCCAGGGTCAGGGACATTGTGCCTTGGGGGTTTGGGGACAGAGCCTGGCCTGGGGGGGTTGGGGCAAGACAAGGAGCCCCAAAGATGCTGGGGGAGGGGTGAGGAGGGTGGGAGTGGCACAGGGGTGACAATGGCAGGGCAGGGGTGGGAGGGGACCTTGGAGCCCCCCCCAGTGCCAGCCCTGCCATGGCAGGGACACTGCCACTGTCCCAGGGTGTCCCAGTGCCCAGCCTGGCCTTGGGCACTGCCAGGGATCCAGGGGCAGCCCCAGCTGCTCTGGGCACCCTGTGCCAGGGCCAGGGCACAATTCTTGCCCAATATCCCACCCAAATCCCCTTTTGCACTCCGAAGCCACTCCCTGTGTCCTGTCCCTCCAGGCTGTCCCCGCCCCTCCCCAGCTCCCTTTTTTCATTACCAGCTTTGTTCCAGGGCAGGTGGGGCTGGTGCAAGGGGAGCTCCATCCCTTGGGGTGCCAGGGCTGGGTGTGGGGCCACAGAGGCTGCACCAGCTCCACCCTGGGGTTCCCCACTCCTGGAGCAGAGCCCTGAGGTTCTCACCCTGCAGTTCTGGGCTGGAGCCCTCCCCAGGAGCTGTGGGGTTATCTGCTGCCACACCTTGCTCACAGAATGCTCAGAATTCTGTGGTTTCCCCTCCAAAGGGGCTCTTTCCATTCCCCCTCTGGAGCCCTGCAGCTTCTCCTCGGTTAAAGCTCTTCCAGACAGACATCTGCTCTGGGGCTGGAGGAGTCCAAGGTGGGGAGCTCCCAGCAGTGCAGGCTGGCCTGAGCAGTCAGAAATGTGTGCCTGCTTCCCGTGTGAGCTGGCCTTGCAGCAGTTTCTCCTCCCTCCAGCCCAGGAGCCCTTCACTGCAGCAGAATTGCTGGGAATGAGCAAAATGTCACCAGAACACTCTGCCCCCTGAGCTCTGCCCACCAGAACTCCCTCACCCAGCTCTGCTCCCTCAGGGCTGGAACCCCTTAGAGAGGGATTTAAAATCCCTTAACCAGGCACAGCTGAGCCCCTCCAGCCCCCTGCTCCAGTCTGCCTGGGATGGGCTCTGAGCCCTGCCCACATTTTTTATATCCATTTTTCACATTTATGTTGTTTGTATTTGGGAAAAGCCAGCTGGAGGTCGAGCTCCTGCTTTTATTTAGGTTTGCTTCCTGCTCACTGCTTGGTGAGGATGCTGGGGTAAAGCCCCTGCCCTGCAGATTTCCTGTGTCTGTGCCTTCACAAACCCAGCCTGGGATACACCCAGAGAACCAACTCAGCTCTCCTTGGCAAGATTTCCTTCCCAGGCAGTTCCAGAGCTCCTGTGCCACCTGCAAGTGGATCAGCGTTCCTGATGCCTCAGTGGGAATGAAGGAATGACAGGCTCAGGTCATGGAGCCCCTTTAGGCCCTGCAGGGTCCCACTTGGGTCACCCCAAGGAGTTTCTGTCCTCTGAGCTGCCTCCCCTCCCTGTCTGAACCCCCAGCCCTGAGCATTCCAGGAGCCAGCACAAATCCCCTGCCCTGCCCCAGGTAGCTCCTGGCTCAGGTAATTCTTTTAAGCTGCAAGTTCCCCAGCCTGCTGAGCTAAAAATATCATTTCTCCTAGGTACTTCTGCCACCTCTTCTCATGGCTGGTGTCAGAGCTTGCCTGGCTGCTGGTGCAGGCTCCAGGGGAGGGGAGGAGGCAGAGCCAGGATCCCTCCCTCCCTCTGCCCTGCTCAGGATTTCACCCCGGCCCCTGCTGCCTCCAGGCTCTGCTTTGTTCCTGATGTTGGTGTTTATTTCCAGCTCTCGTTTTCAGTGGTTTTAGCCCTGCCAGACACGATTTTTCCCCGCCAGGTTTTGGTTTCTCTCATCACTTGGAGCTCTTCAGAGCTGTTCATGTATAATTTACATCAGCTGTTAAGCTTTTATGGGTTTTTTTCCATTTTCTTATGCAGTATTTTTTACATTTTTAATGCTGCCTTCATTTCACCATTTAGGGCTGCATTCAGCTCACCCAGCTCTGCTTGCCTGAGAGTTTGGGGCCTCAAATCCCGCTCTGAAGGAAAGGAGAGTGGGGAAAGATCCTGGAGGTGTCAGCAGCTTCCCCCGAGGGGCAGCTGTGACCTTGATCTGGGACAGGGACAGGACCCACGGGAGGGCTGGAGCTGGGCCAGGGATTTGGGGTGGGTTTTGGGAAAGGTTCTGTCCCCAGAGGCTGCTGGGCACTGCCCCAGGGCATGGCACATCCCCAACCCTGCCTTTGGACAGCCAGGGTGGGACTGGGGGTCTGGGCAGGGCAGGAGCTGGGGTGATGATCCTGTGGGTCCCTCCCAAGCCAGAACATTCCATGGCTCCAGGAAAGCCCATGTGTGCAAGGCCATCCAAGGCTGTCCTCGAGGCTCACCCATTGTCCCCACGCAGTGGGGTGGCACTCAGAGCAGGGAAGGGCCCTGGGCAAGGTCCCTGCCAAGCCAAACCTACACCTTGCTCACAGAATGCTCAGAATTCTGTGGTTTCCCCTCCAAAGGGGCTCTTTCCATTCCCCCTCTGGAGCCCTGCAGCTTCTCCTCGGTTAAAGCTCTTCCAGACAGACATCTGCTCTGGGGCCGGAGGAGTCCAAGGTGGGGAGCTCCCAGCAGTGCAGGCTGGCCTGAGCAGTCAGAAATGTGTGCCTGCTTCCCGTGTGAGCTGGCCTTGCAGCAGTTTCTCCTCCCTCCAGCCCAGGAGCCCTTCACTGCAGCAGAATTGCTGGGAATGAGCAAAATGTCACCAGAACACTCTGCCCCCTGAGCTCTGCCCACCAGAACTCCCTCACCCAGCTCTGCTCCCTCAGGGCTGGAACCCCTTAGAGAGGGATTTAAAATCCCTTAACCAGGCACAGCTGAGCCCCTCCAGCCCCCTGCTCCAGTCTGCCTGGGATGGGCTCTGAGCCCTGCCCACATTTTTTATATCCATTTTTCACATTTATGTTTTTTGTATTTGGGAAAAGCCAGCTGGAGGTCGAGCTCCTGCTTTTATTTAGGTTTGCTTCCTGCTCACTGCTTGGTGAGGATGCTGGGGTAAAGCCCCTGCCCTGCAGATTTCCTGTGTCTGTGCCTTCACAAACCCAGCCTGGGATACACCCAGAGAACCAACTCAGCTCTCCTTGGCAAGATTTCCTTCCCAGGCAGTTCCAGAGCTCCGGTGCCACCTGCAAGTGGATCAGCGTTCCTGATGCCTCAGTAGGAATGAAGGAATGACAGGCTCAGGTCATGGAGCCCCTTTAGGCCCTGCAGGGTCCCACTTGGGTCACCCCAAGGAGTTTCTGTCCTCTGAGCTGCCTCCCCTCCCTGTCTGAACCCAGCCCTGACGTTCCAGGAGCCAGCACAAATCCCCTGCCCTGCCCCAGGTAGCTCCTGGCTCAGGTAATTCTTTTAAGCTGCAAGTTCCCCAGCCTGCTGAGCTAAAAATATCATTTCTCCTAGGTACTTCTGCCACCTCTTCTCATGGCTGGTGTCAGAGCTTGCCTGGCTGCTGGTGCAGGCTCCAGGGGAGGGGAGGAGGCAGAGCCAGGATCCCTCCCTCCCTCTGCCCTGCTCAGGATTTCACCCCGGCCCCTGCTGCCTCCAGGCTCTGCTTTGTTCCTGATGTTGGTGTTTATTTCCAGCTCTCGTTTTCAGTGGTTTTAGCCCTGCCAGACACGATTTTTCCCCGCCAGGTTTTGGTTTCTCTCATCACTTGGAGCTCTTCAGAGCTGTTCATGTATAATTTACATCAGCTGTTAAGCTTTTATGGGTTTTTTTCCATTTTCTTATGCAGTATTTTTTACATTTTTAATGCTGCCTTCATTTCACCATTTAGGGCTGCATTCAGCTCACCCAGCTCTGCTTGCCTGAGAGTTTGGGGCCTCAAATCCCGCTCTGAAGGAAAGGAGAGTGGGGAAAGATCCTGGAGGTGTCAGCAGCTTCCCCCGAGGGGCAGCTGTGACCTTGATCTGGGACAGGGACAGGACCCACGGGAGGGCTGGAGCTGGGCCAGGGATTTGGGGTGGGTTTTGGGAAAGGTTCTGTCCCCAGAGGCTGCTGGGCACTGCCCCAGGGCATGGCACATCCCCAACCCTGCCTTTGGACAGCCAGGGTGGGACTGGGGGTCTGGGCAGGGCAGGAGCTGGGGTGATGATCCTGTGGGTCCCTCCCAAGCCAGAACATTCCATGGCTCCAGGAAAGCCCATGTGTGCAAGGCCATCCAAGGCTGTCCTCGAGGCTCACCCATTGTCCCCACGCAGTGGGGTGGCACTCAGAGCAGGGAAGGGCCCTGGGCAAGGTCCCTGCCAAGCCAAACCAGTCCTGGTTCTGTGACTTCTGGCTGTTCTGGTTCTGTGATTTCTGATTGCTCTGGTTCTGTGACTTCTGACCATTGCTATTCTGTGACTTCTGACCCTTCCATTCTGTGATTTCTGACCATTCTGTGACTTCTGGCCATTCTGTGATTTCTGACCATCCCCATTCTGTGATTTCTGACTGTCCCCATTCTGTGATCTCTGACTGTTCCCATTCTGTGATTTCTGACCATTCTGTGATTTCTGTGTGTTCCCATTCTGTGATTTCTGACTGTTCCCATTTTGTGATTTCTGACCATTCTGTGATTTCTGACCCTTCCCATTCTGTGATTTCTGACCATCCCTATTCTGTGATTTCTGTGTGTTCCCATTCTGTGATTTCTGACTGTTCCCATTCTGTGATTTCTGGCCATTCTGTGATCTCTGAACATCCCCATTCTGTGATTTCTGAATGTTCTCATTCTGTGATTTCTGACCATTCTGTGATTTCTGACTGTTCCCATTTTGTGATTTCTGACCATCCCTATTCTGTGATTTCTTACTGTCCCCATTCTGTGATTTCTGTGTGTTCCCATTCTGTGATTTCTGACTGTTCCCATTCTGTGATTTCTGACCATTCTGTGATTTCTGACTGTTCCCATTCTGTAATTTCTGACTGTTCCCATTCTGTAATCTCTGACCATCCCCATTCTGTGATTTCTGACTGTCCCCATTCTGTGATTTCTGACTGTCCCCATTCTGTGATTTCTGACTCTTCCCACTCTGTGATTTCTGACCATTCTGTGATTTCTGATTGTTCCCATTCTGTGATTTCTGACCATTCTGTGATTTCTGACTGTTCTGGTTCTGTGATTTCTGACTGTTCCCACTCTGTGATTTCTGACTGTTCCCATTCTGTGATTTCTGACTGTTCCCATTCTGTGATTTCTGACCATTCTGTGATTTCTGACTGTCCCCATTCTGTGATTTCTGTGTGTTCCCATTCCATGATTTCTGATTGTTCCCATTCTGTGATTTCTGAGTGTTCCCATCTCTGATTTCTGACCATTTTGTGATTTCTGACCAGGAGTGTTGACCCTTCTGCCTGGGGCTTCCAGCTCTGGGAAATTTTGGAATCCCAGACTCACTGGGAGGGGAGGCAGGGGGGCTGTGCTGCCCCACCATGGAAGTGTCCATGGCCGGGTTTCTCAGGGCTGGAGCCCCCTGGGATGGTGGGAGGTGTCCCCAGGTGGGATTTCAGGGATTTCCCCACCTGAGCCATCCCAGGGCTGCAGCTCCATCCAGCCTTTCCCTCATTCCCCCATTCCCACAGCCCCCACGGCCTGGCTGTGCTGAGGGTCCCTGGGGACCCCCGTGTGCTCCTCCCTGGCAGCTCCACGGAAATCCAGCAGACAGATCCCATTTCACTCCTGCATCTCCTCCACGACCATTTCCTCCGTGATTTATCCTGCCCTGCTCAGCCCCAGCCAGCCCAGCCCTCCTCAGAGGGCTTTTCACATCTGTGCTCAATGCCAGGGCCTCCTTTTTTCAAAGCAACACTTGGTTTTTGTGGGGTGGAGGTGACTGAAGATCTTCTCCCTGACCTGGGTCCCCCTCTGGTCCCACGAGTCCCACTGCTGGTGGGAGGCACAAGGGGAAATGTGGCCTCCCACCTGCCAAACAACACCAAAACCGCAGCTGAAGGACCCCAAGTCTTGGCAGAAAAACCCAAAAATATCTGCTCAAAGGCTCGGAATTCTCCCCCAGCCCTTCCCAGGCTGGGTGGGAAAGCAGCTCTCAGTGGTCAGCAGGGAGAAGCTGCTTTAAATTAAGGGAAAGGTTCTGCTTAATCCTGCTCAGATGGGAGATCAGCAGGGGAAGGTTGATAAATGGGTTCGTGGATTTCCAGGCCAGAAGGAGCTTTCATCCCAGGGTTTTAATGCCATGACCTGAATTTCTGGGGGGCTGTGCTCGGCCCTGCTCCTGCTGCAGGGCCACGGTGGCGGGGTCACCTGCAAGGGCTGGAATTGCTGCTTTGGGACAGACGGGGTCACCAGCCCCCCCTGCAGCCCTGTGTCACACACCGGGGCACACCCTGCTGCTTCTTGTCTGTGAGAGGACAAAGTGCATGGAAACGGGACTTCGAATTCCCTGAATTCCCAAGGGAGCTCTGGCCTGGGTGACATTTTGCTCATTCCCTGCAATTCTGCTGTAGCTGAAGGCAGGCTGTGCCTCCACCAGCCCAGGCCCTGCCACAGTGAACATCTCCCTGCTCCAAAAGGGGAGAAATTCTCCTGAATTTCACCTTTTCTTTGTACTGGGACGTGCTGCAGTGCAGGAGCTGCTCTCCCTGCTCCTCATTCCCTGCCCAGCATCCCTGGTGCCGTGTCCTGTGCCCTCCCAGCCCTGGTTCCTCTGCCCTTGCCAGTGCCAGGGGAGCTGAGCCAGAAGGATGTTGTGCTGCTGGGGCTCTGTGCTGGCACATTCCTGTCTTTGGACACTCCCAGGGGCAGCTCCAGACTTCAGGGGTGGATTTGGGGTCTGTTGGCTCGAGGGCAGCTCCAGACGTCTCAGGTCTGGAGCAGGAGAGGATTTGAGGATCATGGCAGGGTTTGGGTGGGAAGAGACCTCAAATCCCACCCAGATGCCCCCTGCCATGGGCAGGGCACCTTCCTGTGCCAGGCTGAGGCCACGAAGTCCTGCCTGGAGGAGCAGACACCCCTGGCTCTCCTCTCCTGTATCCAGGGCTCCCCATCCCATGTGCCCCACCACCAGAGCCCCCTGGAGTGGGACAGTGGGACCAGTGTCACCTGTGCCCTCGTGTCCTGCCGTGCTGCAGCTGCTGGCACCACGTTCTGTCCTTTCTCTGGGTGTTTTGTGTGAAATCAGCATTTTCACGTGGTAAAATTCACATTTTCACATGATCTTTCCTCTCTCTCTCTCTCTCTCTCCACCTTTTGCCCACATCTCTAGGAAGAAGAGCAAAAGCAGGCAGTAAGTTGACTCCACTTTGTAGGTGATCTGACTTTTTTTTCCCCCCTTCCTGCATGAAATCCATTTTCTGTTAATTGCCTTGTATGCAAATGGGCCCTGGGAATGGGTGGGGGGATTTTGGGAGCTGGAGCAGAGCTTCCAGCAGAGCACGGTGTGTGTGTTTGTGTGTGTGTGTGTGTGTGTGTGTGTGTGTGTGTGTGTGTGTGTGTGTGTGTGTGTGTGGTGTTTGTGCCACAGTTATCCCTCCCTCCCTCCCCAGGGAGCTTTCCTGCCCCGGGCAGGGCTGCTGGGGAATTGTGGCATCCTGGCCAGGGGAGCAGGGGCTCTCAGCTGGCTTCGTGGCTGATTTCTGGCAGATCCGGGGGGGTTCCACGTGCTGGGGAAGCTTTCCCGTCTCTTCAGGAATCCTTTCCTTTGCCTCCCCGCCACATGCAAGTCCATGCACGAAAAACTAATTAATGCCTTAATATTCCGGGCATGGCTCCATGTCCTGCGAGGGAAGGAGCAGGAATGCCTGGGCTTTGTTCCATCCCCGTTTTTCTGCCCTGTGCGGGTTCCGGGATGCGCTGCAGAGGGAGCCCTTCTGCCTTCTGCTGTCCCCGGAGCAGGCAGATGTTCCTGCAGGTCTGCAGCCTTTGCAGGCACGGTTTCGTTCTGACGAGCATCAGTCCGTGCTTGGCACCCCCGGGCTCCTGTGCTGTTTCTCACTGGGGACACTGGCAATCCTGGGGGCTCGTTTTTGGGGGAAACGGGCATTTTGGGGCAGCAAGCTGGAAACGCTTCAGTTTTGCCTGTGCTGGGTGACTCCTGGTGGGTTTGTGCTGCTGTGGCAAACAGGGGTGGTGCTGAGTGGGCACCTTCACTGGAGCCCAGCTCGTCCTTGGGGAATCCTGGCATGGTTTGGGTGGGAAGGGGCCCTAAACCTCACCCTGTGCCACCCTGCCATGGCAGGGACACTGCCACTGTGCCAGGTGCTCCCAGCCCTGTCCAGCCTGGCCCTGGGCACTGCCAGGGGTGCAGGGCAGCCCCAGCTGCTCTGGGAATTCCATCCCACCCTGCCAGGCAGGAATCTGTGCTGGGTCCCACCCAAGCCCTCCCTGGCTTTGCTGCGGCTCCTGGCAGAAGGGCTGTGCTTTGCTGGAGGCTGCAGCAGGTGCCAGGAGCTGCAGGAATGTCCTGGGGGAAGGAGAGCAGCCAAGGCACGGCCAGCCTGCCCTGTGCCACTGGAATGGCACACAGCCTGTCCCTGTCCTCCCCAGCTCCCTCTGCAGCGATCTCTGCAGGGAAGGGCAGAGAGCCCCGTCCTCCCCTGGACTGTGGGTGTAGGAAAAGGGTAAACATGAGATCAGGGAAGAAGCTGGCCAGGCTGACATCCCTTTTTTCCCTGGAACATTGTGTCAGGAGGAGGATAAAGAGCCAAAACTGCAATAAGGTCAGCACAGTGACATTCTGTGCAGGCCCATCCCTCTGGAGTCATGAACGGAGCAGCCAAAGTGGATCTGAAGCTCAAGAAAAGCAGATTTTGGGCAAACAAAGGTCACAGTTCTGGTCTGTAGGGATTGAAATTTGACATCCTTCCTTTGCATGGCCTGGGGTGGCTTGAGCTGCTCCCCCCTGGCTGTGAAGGTGCAGCCTGGAAAGGCTGGGAATCCCAGGGCAGGCTGAGAAATCCCAGGGCAGGCTCAGAAATCCCAGGGCAGGCAGAGAAATCCCAGGGCAGGCTCAGAAATCCCAGGACAGGCTCAGAAATCCCAGGGCAGGCTCAGAAATCCCAGGGCAGGCTCAGAAATCCCAGGGCAGGCTCAGAAATCCCAGGGCAGGCTCAGAAATCCCAGGGCAGGCTCAGAAATCCCCCCTGGCTGTGAAGGGAAGGTTGGGAATCCCAGGGCAGGCTCAGAAATCCCAGGGCAGGCTCAGAAATCCCGGGACAGGCTCAGAAATCCCAGGACAGGCTGGAAATCCCGGGACAGGCTCAGAAATCCCCCCTGGATGTGAAGGGAACGTTGGGAATCCCAGGACAGGCTCAGAAATCCCAGGACAGGCTGGAAATCCCAGGGCAGGCTCAGAAATCCCAGGCCAGGCTCAGAAATCCCCCCTGGCTGTGAAGGGAAGGTTGGGAATCCCAGGGCAGGCTCAGAAATCCCAGGGCAGGCTCAGAAATCCCGGGACAGGCTCAGAAATCCCAGGACAGGCTCAGAAATCCCAGGACAGGCTGGAAATCCCAGGACAGGCTGAGAAATCCCAGGGCAGGCTGAGAAATCCCAGGGCAGGCTCAGAAATCCCAGGGCAGGCTCAGAAATCCCAGGACAGGCTCAGAAATCCCAGGACAGGCTGACAAATCCCAGGACAGGCTCAGAAATCCCCCCTGGCTGAGCAGGAGCAGCCTGGAAGGTTGGGAAGGACCCCCAGGCTCACCTGCTCCACCCCCAGCCCTGGGCAGGGACACCTGGGGTTGGATTTTTGGCTGCTGAGAGTTTCAGACTTTGTGTGCTGACAGACTGACCCCCAGGACAGCACTGCTTCCGAGGGGTTTGCTTGATATTCACTTGAACTTTTAATGTTTTAAATGGTTTTTTTATGTGTTATAGGGAAATAGAGGGGTGCTCTTGTAGTTTTATAAGGAGATTTTGTTTTAAGATTAAAGTTTTTGTGGGGTTTTTTGAGGATTTTTTAATGGGTTTTATGCTTGGATGGGGTTTTATGTGTTATAGGGAAATAGAGGGGTGCTCTTGTAGTTTTATAAGGAGATTTTGTTTTAAGATTAAAGTTTTTGTGGGGTTTTTTGAGGATTTTTTTATGGGTTTTATGCTTGTATTTTGAGATTATTTTTTTAATTTGAGGGATGATTGAAGTATTGAAGGAGTTAATGTTTTGTTTGGGATTTGTAGATGGTTATTTGGAGTTTGTGGTGGGAATTGTGGTTGGGGTGGTGTCAGGATTGGTTGTATGGTTGGTTTTGGGGGTTTTGTATTTAATTTTGGTTGTAGGTTATGATTTATTTGGAGTTTGTGGTGGGAGTTGTGGTTGGAATGCTGTTAGGGTTGGTTGTATGGTTGGTTTGGGGGTTTCTTGTATTTCATTTCAATTGTAGGTTGTATTTGTTTGGAGTTTGTGGTAGGAATTGTGGTTGGAATGGTGTTAGGGTTGGTTGTATGGTTGGTTTTGGGGTTTTTGTATTTAATTTTAGTTGTAGGTTATGATTTATTTGGAGTTTGTGGTGGGAATTGTGGTTGGAATGGTGTTAGGGTTGGTTGTATGGTTGGTTTTGGGGTTTTGTATTCAATTTTAGGTGTAGGGTTATTTTGTGTGGGTTGCAGGGTTGTTTTTGGTTTCAGTTGTAAGATTTTGTGTGCTGGTTGTGCTGGGGAGAGGGGATTTGGTGCCACACTCAGAGCTGAACTTCACCGAGGCTTGGGCAGGATCTGATCTGTCCTGGGCTCCTGGAGGGACAGAGCTCGGTGTGATGTCACAGCCCTGGAGTGATGTCACAGCCCTGGAGGGACAGAGCTCAGTGTGATGTCACAGCCCTGGTGTGATGTCACAGCCCTGGAGGGACAGAGCTCAGTTTGATGTCACAGCCCTGGTGTGATGTCACAGCCCTGGTGTGATGTCACAGCCCTGCAGTGACAGCTAAGAGGAGATGCCATTCCAGTGCCACGAGCTGTTCCTGTCCCACCACGCTGTTCCCTGTGCTGGCCCTGCCGTGTCCCAGCCAGTGCAATCCTCACCCCCTGCAGCCCCTGGGATGGGTTAGTCCTGCTCTGGATTAAGCTGGGATGGGTTAGTCCTGCTCTGGATTAAGCTGGGATGGGTTAGTCCTGCTCTGGATTAAGCAGAGAACCCTGGTTTGGGTTCAGTCCTGCTCTGGAGCAGCAGAGAGCCCTTGGATAGATTTAATCCTGCTCTGCCCTGGTTTGGGTTCAGTCCTGCTCTGCAGCAGCAGAGAGCCCTGGTTTGGGTTCAGTCCTGCTCTGCAGCAGCAGAGAGCCCTGGTTTGGGTTCAGTCCTGCTCTGCAGCAGCAGAGAGCCCTGGTTTGGGTTCAGTCCTGCTCTGCAGCAGCAGAGAGCCCTGGTTTGGGTTCAGTCCTGCTCTGCAGCAGCAGAGAGCCCTGGTTTGGGTTCAGTCCTGCTCTGCAGCAGCAGAGAGCCCTGGTTTGGGTTCAGTCCTGCTCTGCAGCAGCAGAGAGCCCTGGTTCGGGTTCAGTCCTGCTCTGCAGCAGCAGAGAGCCCTGGTTTGGGTTCAGTCCTGCTCTGCAGCAGCAGAGGTGTTTTCCAGCTGGGCAGAGCTGTCAGGGCCCTGTGCTTTCTCCAGGCTGGGGAGCAGCCAGCAGGCAGCCCGGCCCCTGCTCCATTCATGCCTTCCCTGAATCACATTCCTGTGCCCTGAATCAGCCCTGGGTCCCTCCCCACAAACAGGCAGCAGTCTGTTCACTTCCCCGTCTCGCAGCCCTGCCTTCCTGCCAAGTCCCGAGGCACAGAGCTGAGCCCAGCTCTGCCTGCCTGGACAGGGAAATCCCCTGGGAAGGGCTGCAGTCCCAGCTGATGGGGGGGCTCCATTTCCTGCCTGGAAGTGGTTCCATTTCACCCTCCGCAGGGTTCTGGTTGTTTCTGTGCTGGTTTAAGCTGTGCTATCTGTGGTGAGGATGGGAAGGGAGTGTTCCAGGGCACCTGCAGCTCTGTGGGTTATGGGGGTGGCTGTGAGGTCTGTGATGTGCTCAGGGGCTCAGGTTCGGTGTGGTCCCCTCTGAGGAGACCCTGCTGGAAAGGACAGGCGCTCCCCTGGCACTGGGAGCGTGGGTGATTCAGGGTGGGTGCCCCTTGTGTGGGTGCCCCTTGTGTGGCTCCCCAGGGTGGTGAAAGACAGGAGGGGGACCGGGCAGTGTCCTCATTAACACACCTCATTAACACACTTCTGCTGTGTTAATGATTCTCCTTCATTTGGACAGCAGGCCCTGGGGGCCCCTGGCAGCACCAGAGCTCAGGGCTGGCCCTGGGAGGGT